CCAGTTTTCATTAGTTTTTTAGTTTAAATTTGGTTTTTGAAAAAGTCCGAAATTGGAATAACGCTTTGGAGGTATTACATAGACCATTTGGAGGAATAGAGCAAAGTCAGTTTTGTAGGTCTGTCGTAGGTTTTATAGGTTTATAGGTCCGAATTATCATAGTTGTCGAAAAATATTCGGAAATTATCAGGAAAATAGTACCGGAGGCTTATATGTTGTTACTTCGAGGTTGATTTTTTTTTCGAAAGTGTCACTATTTCAGTCGTAGAAATTTTTCAGTTGTGAGTGGCCACTTTTTTTCTTTTTAGCTATGTTCATACTTTCTTCTTACAGTGTTAGCGAAGCATTTTTCTATGTATGCATTAGTTTCGATGCACATTCATTCTAAAATCGGCCATTTGCAACTGCTGTTGCGAATTTAGTGAGAAGAAGTTTCATGATTCCAGTAATTTATTGTTGACAGTGTACAGACTAGTCTACTTCTTCACTGTTGCTTTGAACCACAACAATTTTAAGAACTCTTCGTCTCATAGAAACGTGGGTCGTGACTTTTGTTTTTGCTATTCCCATGTTTTTCTTTTCTTTTTCTTTTTTTCTCGAAACTCGTTTTTTACTTCATACATCTTTTCCTGCACTCGATTTGTTTCAGATACTTTTTGGTGCCCTCCCAACGGTTTGCCGCCTCATCGTGGCTGGGAGGTGTTCCTGGGTGTCGGACTGCGATGTACAGCGTGAGATTCATTCCCGGTCTCCTAAGCTGAAAAGGAGTCCAACGTTTCCATCAGGAAACCTAGCTAAGAGTAAACCAATGCCAGGATCGACCACCGTTTTGGTATCAAAGTCGTATGGTGGTAAACCTCCCTCTGATCCACAAGAGTTGCGACTGCCCGTGGTGGTGAAGACCTGGGGCAGACTTTGGCCAGGCTGACCTCGGGACTCAAGGGAACCATAATGGCTTAACCAGCAAATCTCCGAAAAATGGAGATTATGCTGGGGCCCGCACAACCAGTGAGGACGGGCCATTCAAGTATCAAGTATCAAGTACTTTTCGGCACTGCCATTGTACTCCCACTACTGCTTTTGTTAGAGAGTCGTTCAGTTGCTATACTAACAGTTTCATTGTAAAATTTCCTTCAGTTGTACCGTACTTGCTCGATGTGTTGAGATTTTGGACAAGTTGTGCATGTTATAAGCAGTGGGCAGAAATTTTTAGAGGAAAGGATTAAATTACTTTTTGTGCGGTAATTACCATTTACACCGTATTTCGTGCGATCTCTACACAACACTTTTTGATAAGTAACGTTCATGTTGTTGTTATGCTACGCCATAGTAATGTTATCCTAGTGACCATTTGAAGTGTTTACAACTAACCCTTGGTGGGATATGCGGGATATGCGTTTGTTTACCCATGGAAATATAAGTGAAGTTAATGCTTTCGCCTACTTGACGGCTTTTCGGTTTTGATAGTATAGAACGAAGTTGAATCTTCAATGAAGCTAACCGATTCACTTATTTCGAGAGGATTTAGAGTGAACTAAATATTGATTTAAAAATAAGTACTACTAGAGTATTTCAATAACCGCCTTTCCTTTATCTTCGGGATGATTAATCAATACGTATTCTTTCACTGATAAGCTGACACGGAGTCTCGTGTTATCTCATCAAAGAAGGAATTCATATTACTAGGATAATCCATCTTTTTTCGGAGAGTTTGGTTTCACGGTGGTCTGAACAGTAACGATGAAACTTTCACTGTAATAAATATCTTTTCTTTATGTTTTTTTTAAACACAGAAGAAATTACAAGAACAGCGTTTGCTCCAAAAAGACACAATAATGTTCTCTAATGCATCACTTATGTTTCCGGATGCTGCAGCACTTGCGTTGAGCATTTTTAAAGCCCGGGTTTCATTCGGAGTCCACTTTCAAAGGTTTAATTTTTGAACGTGAAATCTACTTCATTAAGATTGGCATTCGAAATTGAAAATCGTATTGTTAAAGTTGGGTATTCGATGATTAAGTCTTTTCTAAAACCTGTGAAGTCGTAAGCTCCGCGAATACTGTAGTTATCGAGAAATTACCGTTACATGCTGGGAAAGTAGTCTTAGCTGATATTAGTTAACAGGCGTGGATTATACTCTCTGAATTCGTTCTACGAAGAATACCTTCCATATGGGCTCCAGTTATTTGTGTAGGCAAATACATGGTCAACTGTTCACCTTTTATTTACTGCCTGATCATTTTTTATTCCATGCTATTATGTGAGATGCAACTATATGAATACTGAGTTATGAGCAAAACTCAGAAGCTCAGATGAGCTTCGAACTCGAGACTACCCTTTTCGGCCGGCGGCTCACATGCTATCCAGCACACTAGCCGAGGCCTTTACTTTCCCTATCTCGCAGCCAGCTTTCTGCTTTATCGATGCTATTAGCAATCGCCCGTTAACGGGAATAACCTGGGGAGCCTAGATCGGTATTTAACCCTATTAATTTGGTGCTGTAATCGAAATCATAATGTTTGGCTTCTATTTGCTGCCTATTCATTCTTTTTGGCAGGGTATTATGTGAAACACAACCAAAAGGTTGTTGAGAGATAACCAGAACTTGGAACCTCAGGTAAGCCTCCATCCAATCCATGATTATCCTTTCCGGGTTCACCTACTATCCACCACACCAACTGAGGGATTTCGTTTTCCTTTTTCTCAGCCATTTCTTTTTTTTTTACTCTAACGGTACTGTTAGCAATCATCGGTGGGTGGGAATTAACCGGGGAGCACAAGTTGGATTTGAACCCATTTAAGATGAAGCTGCAGTCAAAATCACAATCTTCATAGTAAGGTTTCGTGTAAACCCCCCGAGAAGGGTAATCGCAATTTCGAAGACACGATAAGGCTGCGGGTTTTGCACATATTTCAGCATCTTTGTGATTTTATCACGATCACAACTGTTCGATGAATTGCAGAAGAACCGTTGTAAGCACTTCGACTATTTCGGAAATCCTTAAATTCTCGACAAGTAGATACCGCACAAATTGAATAACATTCAAGGAATTCGCAGATTTTGAAACATTGTCGGCGCTTCTTTTGCGCAATCAGGACGACCAATTTCTTGACCGAATGCTGGGGTACGACGAGAAATTAATCCTCTACGAAGAACAACGACGATATGCTCAGTGCTTAGACGGCGGTGGTGCTCCGCAACACTTCCCAAGGCCGTTATTACGCCAAAAGAAGGTCATGCCGAAGGAGAGTTTGGTGTGCACAGCTTTTTTTTGTGAAACGAGCACGTCGAATGTACGTGCAGCAAATCGACGAAATGCGCCACAAACCTCAGCTTTCGTATTCTGCATTTGTCAACACAAAACGACCAATCTTTCTGTATGATAATTCGCAGCGACACGTCATACAGGCGACGCTGGAAAATGTTGAACGGGCTGTGCTGGGACACTGTTTTATCTACCATACTCGTCAAACCTCTCGCATGCCGACTTTCACTTCTAGTATCGCTATGTCTTCCTATCAACGTACTGTGCGAGGAATGCTTCAGAAGTCAAGCCGACGCCGGATTTACTTTCTAAGGCTTCATTACCTCCAGAAAGCAAGAATTCTAAGCAATTGGTGTGGGTAAAATTGTTTCTCGCTAGCAAAAATGTGTAGTTTCTAATGGTTCTTGTCTCGATTATTAAAGTTTATTCTGAGCTGATACATGCTACTTTAGAAATACATATTGGAATCCGACATTGGTTTACATGGAACTCGTACTGATTGAGAACTCTCACCTAGTCTTTGTTTTGACGAGTTTAGATGTTTACACTTCTTCTTAGTATTTCCCCAAGTGCTTTTTAAGGAGTCGAATATATTAATATATATCACGAACACGAATATATATTATCAAGTTCAACGGCTTCTCTGTGTAGTCGTATGAGCGTCGTCTTCTATTCGAGGATGCATGGCACGTCGACATCGTTGCCGGAAAAAAAGTTTCATGCAAAGATTTCGTAAATGGCATCCCGCTTTAAGGAGAAAAATTAGTGAGCCGGAGGGGTTTTTGTTTCAGAGTACATCCCATTCCTCTATCGTAATGTGGATATTACCACTGAGTTGCTCAACTTGGTGTTTATTACAGTTTCTTAAAACATTTTTGTGTTTTTGGAAAGTTATTTGAACAACCCCCAGGATCGACTTTCTATTAACCTCGGCATTGGATTATAAATGCGTCGTTTTCTTGTTCAGTACTCGTGAAGTTGTTATACACCATACATTTACTTCCGTACAAAAACACTCAATACAACAGTAGCTGACGTTTCGGCAATATCGCCTTCTTCAGAGCCGTCATAAACCATAAAAAATAAAATAAAGCTCTCGGTGTTAATCAGTCCCTGAGGGATGCGCTATGCGTTTGACTTCATTAAGCATCGTTGGAGGTGATTGAATGCATAACCGGCCTTTGCAATGACTCGCACTGACCTACCGATGTATCGAGCCAGTGCTGCTATCCTCCCAGACAAGTCTGGTACCAATCAGCCGACCCCGGATCGGTGGAAGGCTTGGTGAGCCATGGTCGCGGGGATCAATTCCGTGTTTGTCGCAGTGGCGCCTCCAACCATTGCGCTACACGAGCCCTTCATTGCGCCGTCATCAACCATATGCGATTATAATCAGCTGTTCTAATCTTCCTCAATAGAAGTCACATTAAAAGCGGCTCTGAAGAAGGCGATGCGGCTGAGACGTCACTCGCTATTGTATTTGTGTTTTTGTTTGGAAGTAAATGTACGCTGTGTAACAACCTCGTGTTTACTGAACAAGGAAACGCAGACGCAGTCATTCGAATACAAGATAGATTTTTCTTGCTTTATTCTTTCAAAGTATTTGCCAGAAATGCACCGCATTGGCAAACCATGCCATGTAAGCTATTACGTCAGCTATTCAATTGTATTCGATGCGAGTAACTTCAAAAAGCTTTTATTTTACCGTTCGAGTAGTTTATTCTATTATACACTTCTGCTGTAACTAACGGTGGAAGAATTCCTTTTCCTACCGACCGTAACTCAAGGCATGTAGATAAGGTTTACAGTTTTCTCATTAACACGGTGAAGCTCGTTGAAAACGGTCTTTCCCGAATGAAGAGAGGATAAAACTCTTTGCGTTGATCAATCGTTGAGAGTTGCGCTGTGCATTCGACTTCATCGAGCATCGTCATAGGTGACTGAATGCACACCGGGCCCACACAGTAACTCATTGTGGCCTACGGAAACATTGAGGCGGTGCTGCTATCCTCCCAGGCAGGTATTACTACCAGTTTGCCAATCTCGTGGAGATGAAAGGCTTTGTGAACCTGGAGCACGTGATCGAGCCCATGCGTAGACCACGACACCTCTAGTCACTGTGCTACAAGGGTTACTTACTTTTCCCAATACAGTGTTAAAGGAAATGACTTTTCGAATTAAACTCTCTGGCATCCTACATGTTGAGAATTGCAAGAAAATTTATGGGAATGTAATAGTATCTCTTAAGGGAAAACAAGCTGCCTCTAAGAAGCATGGCTATTCGATGTGTCAAAACAGGTGGAAGATTTATCATCTTAAGAATTTATGCGTTCAGGTTTTCTACCGGCGACACCTCGAAATGGGTACAATGGTGGTCAGTCGTCTCCTCGTCATCCTTTGTATGTGGATACGCAACTCGCAAACAGTATAGGGGAGAAGCGTAGAAGTCCGGCCACGAGTGTTGTGGATTTCATTCGTGGACGCAGTTGTGCCACATCGGTTAGGAGTTCATGTAATATATTTTCACGTTTTTATTTTAAAAAAGTTTTTTAACGAATTGTATAGGACCAGTCCATTGATCGATATCCCTATTGACAACATGTTGCTCAATAAAGTTTATCCTTTTAAGGAACGATTTCAAACTTTTGGGGTTTTTATAGCAAAAACACATCTCCAACAGTAGCAACAGGTGGAATCGATATTTTCCTTTTACTCAGCTTCTTTAGCAGTGGTTGTTTGATTACGATGCGATATTTGCTTTGCTTGAAGTAATAGAGCTACGCACTTGTCGTCGTCTACGTAAAACCAACATTTTTGATTCAGCGTTCTTTTTGGAAGCGACCTATTTGTGTATTTGGGTTATAGTCCGTTTTTTTTCAAATTGGGTTTATTCTTTGCAACACACACAGAGGTTAGTATAGTGGTGATCCTCTTCTCCTTAGTGGTGTCCTAATGGGAAAGCGTCGTAAAATCCAAGTCAGTGCATAGGTCAGCATGCTACACGTGGCTGACTTCTCACAGAAAAAATGGTGTGAAATTGTCGTCATACGAAAAGTGAATCATCATGTCCATCGAGCAAACGAGATCCATAAAGCAGCTGTGACGCATCGCGAAGACGAATGAAGGCTTTAGTAGAGGTCATTGAACTTAGGTTTTGCGTAGCATTGTTACACTTGTCATAATTGATCGTTCGGAGTTTTCAGAGTTGAAGCAGATTGATCCATTCATCTTTCAATCTATTTTTGCAACTCTTTATCCAACGACATCCCTTTTTTCTTCACAATGTGACGACCTCTCGGTGGCAGTCGTCTCCTACGTTTCCTGTCTTTTATTCAGTAATTCCAGACTCGTGACTTTTGAAGTCTTTGCGAAGTTTTTTCAGATGCCATGCCATAGTTTCCAAACTTGCGAAATGTTACATTGCGTAGTTTTAATGAAGTATAGTTATTTCACAAAAGGTGAGTTAGGAAGTCTACGAGATTAACGCCTAAGCTCTTGAGATGAGCAAGAGAAAGTAAGTTACTTGCAGATGTTACAAGAAGAACAGCCACCTCAACGCATACCTTTCCGACACACAGTTTTTTATTTCTTGCCGGAGCTTTTGGCATTTTGGACGTTATTTAAGCGGGATTATAACGCGGTCAACTAGCGAAAGGTCGGTAACAGGAACATCCAATTTAGTAGAAGCGGGGAGGGGATTTGTACTGTTACCCAGGTCGACTATCGAAAATTAAGAACAGTGTACGCCATAATCTCAGGAGCAAATTGACAGGACACAGATATATATATATATGTATAATGTATATGTAAAAAACAATATGAGAATAAGGGGATAATACCGCAGTTGTGTTAGTCTGAAAAGTTGCAGCAGCGACGCATGAGTAATAATGTAATGGATATACAAGCATTAGTGTAAGATTTAAAATAGACGACAATTGGGCTAAGTGAATGGTAAGCTAACTTAATGGCTTGTAGAGCAACAAGCTGTTAAGATTTTGCAAAGCATAAGAAAGAGTCTCGTAAAATCTTAATAAATAGGATGTAATTGACAATCTACTACGTTGAGGCATAGTGTTACATGTTGATGATGTGGTACTTGGCTGAGATAAATGACAATGATAAGCCGACATCGGTGAGGCACAAAGAGAAGGCTTCAGTAGCACTGGACAATGCAAATAACGAAGCTGCTTAGGAAAGATGGTAAAGCCGGAGAAAATTTGGTTTCCACAATTGCTGATGACTGCTGAGTGTCGGCTGAGGAATCTGGACAGCTGTACGGTCTGGCCTTGTGGCGGATGTTTTTACATACCGAGTCATCCAGGAATCTTCAGCCGTCTGCAGTGCTGTGTGAACATCTGTGCCACCTGGCCATGATTCTTGCGATGACTAGTTTGGAATTTCCCAATCAAGAACAGAAATACTGTAAATGACAACTAAGAACTATCCATAGAATATGCTGATGGCACTGTTGGATAGGAAATTAGTCGAGAGTTAGTCGAAACGAAGAACTTGCATAGTGTGGTGGTGAACACGTTAACCCACAGAAAAGATAATTGCGGATTCGATCCAGACCGCAGGTGTCTGCGGTCTGGAGTTTTGCAAATATCTTACCATCATTTTGGCTCCATATCCAGAGGATAGTTATTATATGTTTGTTCATCGAGAGCATTTCGTAAGCTGATTCTTGACCAAAGCAGTGTCAGTACTGCAAACGGTTTCTGCAATTTTACCTCTCAATTTTAATGTGTGCAAAAATATGCTCTACTTTGCTGTTTTTGCACTTCTGCTCCCAGTAGCTAAATTAGCATAGACATACAGAGCATGCCCTTTAGGAAACAACATAATGTGGACGGAGTACTATAGCATGTTTTTTAATATCTTAGCATTAAATTTCATAAAGACGAAATCGATGCCAATTTCCGACCAATCTTTTGTGAAATTGTATAGCCTATAATTTTTTTTCAGCAGAGTTTATCTGGACTGGCGACTCCTCCTTCACCTACGACAGCGTCTGTTTCAGCAAGAGCATCGGCATCGACCGATGGAGGTGTTCCAACTTGTGAGTGGGAACAAGTACTTCTGAATGCAATATCCAATGGTACCGTCGATTGTGAGCATATGGAACGTAATTGCACCATTTCGCTTACGAATTTTGGATATCGTGCTTGGGTGTAATGTCTTAGGCAACTATTGAGTTCGTCCGTTTATTTCTAGTGGTGAATTTTTTTAAAGATAGAATAACTACACTATGGAGGCCCTTTTCTAATGTGGAACATCTTCGGCAAAATTTTTTGGCTTAGGCTTACGATGTTGCTATTCAATTGATCCCATCTTCTACTCGCATTCCCCACACACATTCACGCACACGAGCTAATGACAGAACTGATTTTGCATAGCAGAAGTGCACATGCATCAACTGTTGTATAAATCCGTAATCGATTTCAATAGCTCGTATGCATTTTCTGAATCGAACAATGGTGTTGCTAGGGCCTGCCTTCCCTTCCCGCTTTCACCCTCTTATACATATCTTTTCAGAATTCTTCAATTTTGTTTTTAATGTCTCAGAACGAACATCTTTGATAGAACGGACTCAACCCATATTGTTAAAACAAAATCCTACCACATAGTTATGGCTTACTTCATAGTAGCTCCAGAATTCCATATTATCTTTGACGCTATAAAATGAACTTCTTGTGTAACACCTTCTTAGTTTTAGTGTTTCTGATGGGAAAGTTCCCACATGTAGCTTGTCGTGCTGTGCTTAGTAGCTGGGGATTGCCTACTAGAGGTCGATTAGAGGAGGCGGCGGTATAGTTCCCATTAAATTGATTGCAGAGCTTTGGCCAAATCGGCTTCAAGGATACAATCCCCACACTTTCAAGCACACCCACGCACGCGTTAAAAATTTTTTCTAAAATGTTACTTGTTGACGACATGTATAGATTATTTTGATGAATCATGAACAGAAACCCATCCGTTTAATATAACTGCATTTCGAAATAAGTTCATGGTTGCCTTAGCCACCACCCGGGGAAGCGCTGCATAACCAATGCGAGGAAGCCGATCAATAATTTTTGGTAAGTTTTGTATCCTTTGCTACGGGTAGCACATGATTTCGGTCTAGGCTACAGTTGGATTGACCCAGTCTTTATTTCAAATAGCTAGTACTTTTTTTTGGTCATTTCTAAACTATTGTTTGAAAATTGAGAAGCCGAAGAAGACATTGAAATGCCTATTATATATTGCTAAAACGTCATTGCTCAACATTTTTAGAAATATTTTCATACCTGGTATGTCACCCTCTTCGGTGGCCTACACTTCCAGATGACATAACCGGCCCTGATTTTCTGTATTATCGGTGTACACCATCTCTCTCGTATGAAGGATATCGGAGCCCATTAGTCCCGTTGCACCTCAAAGTGGTTGATACAGGTTAAACGCAAATCGGAATAAACCATCACCTTGTTCTGAGACGCAGATGAATCCAGGGTATGGGATTTTTCTGCTGGAAGGATTAACTTGTTCTGTATATATCAATGTATATACATATATATGTATACATATGTATATGTATATATGTATATGTATAATATTCATAAATGTGTACACAAGTGTATTTGCGTATATAGTCTTTGTGCGCTTCAGCTTGATTTTGCCAAAATCTTATCACAAAATGACGGGAGGCAACGTGCTAGTGTTTCGAGTAAGAAGTCACCGTGTAAACTACAGAAGAATACGGTAGACTTTGAATGGCTATCCATACTGACAGCAAGAGTGAAAGGTTCGATTCTGGGAAAAGTGTGATGCCCTTTATCGACCGACCAGAGCCCATTTGGTAACACTTTTTCACGGGTACGACGAATTGTAAGCTTACAGGTTCTAGCTTAGTCACTCAGTGATTGACAGAACAACATGTAGTACGGTAGAAACTTCTTCGTGAATAACTACTATTCGTTGGATGCTAAGTAGAATTTCTTTAGCGCCATTGTTTTCGCCGGTCCGTGGTAATTCTCGACATCTTTCTCGTATTTACCACCCTGGAATGCGAAGTCTTGACTCAGGCCTCGACCTCAGTTCACCGACCATTGGACATCATGCACTGCTGATCAAGGAGGTATTTCCAATGTAGTTCTGTCTGTTAGTGTTTTAAAGCTTTTTTTGTGCACAGTTTAACTTTTGTTAGTTTAAAAAAACTGTAGTTTAAAAACAATTCCCGAGTGCTACGTCTGGATATCTGAAACCGGGAGAAAACCTCGTGTGTTCAGTTATTTCGAAAGGAGCTCACCTTGCTGCAGTATTATCAAGGCGATTTGTACTTACAGATTTCTATATCGATTCTTATAGATCTGTTCCGTGAATCATTGCAAGGAACACCTCTTCCTTCTGTGATTTATGTTCTTTCATTGTTTACATCTCTTAATTTCTTCTGCATCTTGATCTTAATTGATAGGCTTTATCAGTTGAGATGTAAACTTCAAAGGAACACCGACTGTTACTACATATTTCGCTTGGATTCAACGAAACTAAAAGAATAGGGTCTCATTGGTGAGATCATCGCTACTTATATTGACGTTCTAGAAGTTTTGTAGCACTGTTTTCTCTATTTCGACTGCATTTATTTCGAATCTTTCGAACCCCAGGAATTAAACCCCGCATTGGTCTGGAAAGTTGTTAGGTTAATTAGTAAACTCGACCATAATTTTGTAACTATGCGACTAATGTCATTATGGAAAGCTCAGTCTTGCATAGGATTCTATGCGTTTTTTCTTTCTGAAAGAAAAGCGAAAGAGCCCTTACGTTCTTCTTCCTTATCTTATTATAGGATTACTTATGAAGATTCCTTCAATGCATCCCTATACATACAAGATGGTTCTTCTTTTCTCAAGGGGTGGTCCAATTACGTTTGTGTGTGTGTGCGCGTGTGTCGGTGTGTATGTGTGTATGTATGTATGTGCATATATATATGTATGTGTGTGTGTGTGCCTGTACGCGTATGGGTGGTGTGGGAGGTCAATCCATCCACCACCACCACCACCACCGCCACCAACACCACCAACGTCACTTCATGTTCGCAATCGATCGCTTACTGGCAAGGGCGTTGCAGGCCTTTCTGTTAGTGGTTTTTATCCCTTCTATGCTCCCCAGTATGTTGTTCCTAATTTTCGCCCCGAGTCTAAGATCAACCGATTGAATGTGGAATATTATTGAGCCAGGTGGATTGTTTTTTTGCTTGTTTTTAAGACTAAGTGTTTCGTTAAGGTCTAGCAAACTTCTGGCGTCAGTCCGTATTAACTATTTTTTATATGAACTTTCAGCCGTATGAAATTCAATTTCGTTTAATGCTTTTACTAGTTGGCGGAACTATGCGTTTATCCCAGTTTTTCTGCCGAGAAAAATACTTTGAAAATTTTCATTAAATCGACTTTGGTCGCGTCGAACAGAGACAGGATTCCAATAGTTCATTTTTTGTAGGCTTAGATTATATCTATAGGCTACATATTTCCTCAGAGATACGTTTCATCCTTTGGTGGGCACCAGTCCAGGTGCTTATCAGTTGTTCACATACTTTGTGATGAGTCAGTTATTTACTTGTTGTTCTCGTGTCCACAAGTCTTGCTGATTCTTCGTCCATATCGTATTTTCGGACTAAAGCATAGTTTTCTAATCGGATTTAATGATAGACAAAGCAGCAAACTTATCTGACAGTGTACTGCTGTCGGTCGGCGCTGCTGCTGTAAACATAAGAGGTCCGGACGCGTGGTCGAGCGGGGGGAGTGATGGGATGGATGGATGGGGGCTGCGCTGCACATCCATCGCCCATCTCTCTTTTCCTCTCGCAGTGCAGTCATGAAGTATCAATGCTGTAAAACTTCTAGTACTATGTCTACTGTATTTGTTTAAAGGCAATTCTTTTAAATATAGAATCTGGGATGCCTTGGGAGTCTGAGCAATATATGTCAGTCTTGTTTTTGTTCTCCACTCTTGTCTCTCCCACACTCCTGGCCTTGTTTGGTGCCTTCTAAAGGCTGGATATGTTGTTACATACCAAGTTTTCGGAAATTTTTTCTTTTTGTGCTTACCGCTTTCAGGTGTTTTATGGATTTCCATGTTCACAATAACCCGTAGATGCATCACCGTAATGGGCTAAACTTGCCACCATCAAATAATATCTGTATAGTGTAGCAGTTATCATCACAGTCGAAAAATTCATGAACATTTCGAATTTTCTTTTTTCATTAGGATCTTCTCGTCCCAGTCAAATGTAACAGTTGTTGTTCTTTCTTCTCGTACCTTCTAGCCTCCCCAATGTTCGTTTGTCCCATGGCCGGTTGAAGCTTACCAGTCTAAGAGACAAAGTCATTGTATATTCTTCCTGTCTGTCTCGCCACTGCTCAATCTTTGTGTTTAACTGTACACAAAAGTTAAAGCTTGTGATGACGCAGTCTATAGTGTTTTTAGTGCGCTCGCTCCTTTGCGCTGATCACATCCTTTTTTCCTCTTCGCTATTTGACTGCCATCTCTTTTTACGGAATTCATTTCGCTGTGCTGATTTCCATCACGTTTGCTGCCTCTACTTTTTTTGTTACCATTTTCTAAAATTTCAGTGTTGAATCAGCGTTCGTTTCAGTACAGTCAGGCATAGCGTGCGTTTTAAGGCAGAGTTAAATGGCGCGCCAGAGAGGTTTTCCAACTGATGGGTTATGCGGAAGGTTTGAAAAACAACGAGGCTAGAGGTGCACAGCAGAATGTGAGCTAGTTCTATTTGTTTTTCGCGAACCTGGCAGCTGCTTCAAAGAGTAAACATAATATGTTTAACTGGGCAACAAAATTTGCCACGTTGCTATGATAATCACTAATTGCCGTCCTTATAAGGATGAAGGATAAAGCGGCGTTCGTTGTTGATCATTCCCTTTGGGATGTTCCATCTATTCGACTTCATTAGGCATCGTTAGAGATGATTGAATGCATATCCGGCCTATACAATGATTTGCAGTAGCCTACCGATGCAACAAGTCTGTGCCTCTATCCTCCATGACAACTCTGTTGCGAATTTTCCGACCCTGGAGTAATAGAAAGCTTGATTGGTCGAGCGATCGAACCAACGACCGTGTGTGTATCGCAGAGCGCCTCTAACCATTGCGATACACGTACCCGCTTCCTTATATCCTTTTAAACGAATGCATAATGTGTACATTCTTAATGATGTGGTTGCTGTGTGAAGAAACGTTCAATGGTTCCTTTCTACTCGAATTGTCAGAACAAGGGCAGCCTACAACGAGCAGTTGTAGCAGAAAAGGTTGTCGCGAAATTGAGTGCTATTAGCGATTGCCTGCGCCTGCACTGTTGTTCTCTGTCATTAAAGCAGCGTAAGTTCTCTTAAAATTGCGAGCCCATTCTTCTTTCCGATCGGTAATTTATGCGTTAATCGTTTATGGTCCTTAAGGTCGAACATCAGGTTTACGTCTTACTGGGATGCATTGACATTGGGCTAATAAAAAATAGAATACAATTCTTCGACACCGACGGATTTCGATAGATCGTCATCATGCTGTGTTCTTGCGCGCTTCTGCATTTCATCGTCCCTTGTCCGCACAACCAGTGACAGTGATTTTCTCACAAATGCATTGTTTGGATTCAACGACGTGTTGTATTTTACATCTTTACTGTTCTATTAGTCGTTATATTCACTTCTAAAAGTTTTTAGTTTGAACATGGCTACGAGCTTAATCTTATACGGGATCGCCATGTTGTAAAAACCAAGTGAAACCATATTGATTTATATCACCTATATTACTATTAATCCTGTAAATCATCGAGTAACTAGAGCGAGCAGTTGTAAACTCCACTTGTCTCGTTCGTAAGCACAAAAGCCTCTCTACGGGCTTTTTTCGCTCAGAAGACATCGAGAAGGTCATACTTTTGATGTGATGCCTTTTATCCACTACTCCTGATGATAACGAAGCTCTGAGAGAGGGTGTTGTCAAGCAGTCGTGTGAAATTGATTTATTCCCAGCTGAGAAATATCGAACTTCTCACATCTAGGTAATAGTGCTTGGAGATAAATACTCGCTGTATAGACGCTTCAACAATCTAACGATAGTGAGCGGTAAACTGTTGATGGGCTCACTTCTCTTGTACTACTTTCATCATTCTTCATACTTTTGGTACTTATACGGCTTTCAGTGTCTGGTATGTGTTTCGATGGCAAGGTCTGATTTGCAGAACTTCACGATTTTCGTCACGTTGTCTGCATTATACGGATAGTCGTAGAGTGGTGGACACGCTTCTGCAAGTGCTGAGGTCTCTTTCCGCTGAACATTATTTCCGGCGTGAGTCGCCTTATGATTATTTACGAAAGGCTTCGCTCGTTTGTGGACTTTGATGGTTTCCGTAGCGGGGCGGCCGTGGAGAGAGCCTCGTCGCTGTTGCTGTTCCTCAGTATCGATCTGAGTTGGTAGCGTAGGCCTTTGTCGGCCATTTGATGCGATCGATTTGAAAAATGGTGCTTTTGATACCGATATGGGCTATTCCTTACACGTTCCAATACAACATTTATTTGAAATGACACACGGTATTTTAATTTCAGTGATATAAATAAGATGACTAGGATACGTGCTCAAATCGTCTCTCTCAATTTCTGAAACGCGCTCATAAAGTTCACTCATTGGAAGTGTCATGTTTTGGTGAGAAGTTTCCAGCTGTTCTGCTTTTTTATGAGGAAGTTCGGACGGAAAGCTGTGTTCTGTCTTTTGGCTTCACAGACATTGCACGAGGACGAGCAGTGATTTAACTCTGTCAGAAGACGACAAGGTGTTTTGCTCCGCATTATTTGTTTATGGTCCACGGTTGTTTACTTGTTGGTCCCAGGTCTACTAACATATTCATTAGTGATAACTGAACTCAATTTTTCACCAGTTCAGCTTCTGTCGTGCAAGAGGTCAACGTACGTTATCTTCGGAAAATAGTCTGGGTTTTTGCCATCTTCAACTTCAAATACGCTTTCCTCTGATACTGAGTAAACTTCACGAAACGAAACAAAACAAAAACCATTAAAGTCCGGTCGTATAGTGAACAAAACTTAATTGAATTTAGTATTTTGCGGTAATACTTTTTTTCTCTTTTTTCAAT